GGGGGGGGGGGTCGCGCGTTCGTCGTTTTATACCCCCGTCACCCTAGAGGCGGAATGAGCAAGAATGCCGTCAGAAAGCCAATTCTTTGTGCGTACCTGGATATTCGAAGTGCATTCCAAATATTTTTACCCTTTCTTGTGGCCGGCCCGAATGTTTTGCTCATTTTAAAAACTTTCGAAGTGCATTCCAAGTGGAAAATTATCGAATGGCATTTGAATAGTATTCTAACTGCACTATGACTTCATACTAAATATTCTCACGGCATTCCGACAGCATTCGAAACATTCTGCTCACATTCGAGGAGGAACCGAAATGGCAAGACACTTCAAATCCTGCTAGAATGAGCCAGAATGCAACTCGAATGCATCTCGATCCTACTTCAGCCAGCAACCGAACTACACTCGTACGACATTCGAAATGTATTCTAAATATTCTGACTGCATTCTGACATTCTTACAAGAATTTTGGTCAATTTGAAATTTCTTCCCGAATGTAGTACGAATTTTTAAATTTAGTCATTCCTGCTGGTTCTGCTTGATTCCTGCTGATTCCGAATAAGTATGACGGGGGCTTTAGGCTACATGCACATAATTAGATCACCTACTCAGAAAGTGAATACGCGTAATTTCTTATTGCGGTAAAAGTGATGGATCACGCAAGTCAGGAAATGTCGTGCGTTAAATACTAATTACAGTGTATGAATTACAACTAAAGTCACTCTAGACGCGGCGGTCTATTTTTTAAGCGTCTGAAAAATTAAAATGTGGATGCTTCGCAAACAGTGTCTCATATTAACTGATAGCAGATATATTTTCCGAATGAAAAAAGTGCAAATATGGCTGCAATTGTAATTGATACGCTGTACCCCTAGATAAAAATGCGTTGTTGTTGTATATCAAAAGCCAAAACAATAAACAAGAGATAACATTTCCTCTATGCGTAAAACTTATCACGCTGTATGTAATGGCGATCGTATTAGAAAGCATAAACCGAGCTAGTCTTCAGGCACAAAAATTATTCTAGCTACATGTACACATATCTGGGATTTTCATGCCGAATCTAATTTCAATTAAAAACATTTTTAGCACTCAAAAATCAACCTATTCAACCTATCCCTGCATTTGAATCCAATGTTTTGTACGATTTCTTAATAAATAACTTCTAAATCCCTTTTTTTTTAATTAAAAGGGTTTTGTCGTTAAAAAAGGTCTGAAGTACAATTAGTGATAGGAATTACTAAATGAAAAAAGTTAAACACATAAAAACACCTTTCATTTCAGAAGGTGTTTATACAGATATCGCTCATAGTTGCTGTTTTATCTTTCACACGATCAAAGTTAATTAAGACACAGGTGCAACACAGATGAATTGCTTGTGTAATATGTTCCTGATTCAAATTCCTAATCGACTTTTACCACGCTACCGGGCATCTAGTTAAAAAGTCGAATAATCTTTATTTAAAAACATTCTTAAAATAAACACGGTTAATACACACGCTAATATCATCATGCCACCTATATGTGAATAAAATGCACCTGAAATTTGCCACAACTCTGCACCATGATTCAAGTCGTTATCCTCGTGTCCTTGGTCGTCTGCTGTGAAACATCCAGTGGAACGCTCTCGTCCATAAGGTAATTAATATATGTGTATAACGGATGTAGGTATATAATTTATACTTGATTACGTTGGCAGCGAGCAGGAACTGCACCTCAAGTGTAAAAACTAGCGAATGCAACATTATGTGATGAACTTTGAGAAGCCAACCATGGCTATTCGATCACCTACGTTCTGCCAATTTAATCCATTTCACGACAAGATTAGTTAACTACGTTTTGCTCGTCGCCTTATTATTATTATTATTATTATTATTTTCTAAAATGAAATTCTCACGGTTTGACCATTTTCAAATATTAAAAAAAATAGTGGTAAACTACCAGGACCACATATCGACTTTTCACTAAATATTCACAGACACATTTTTCGCGAAACATGTGCTCGTTTCTGTGCTGTCCAGTGAGGATTTTTGCATATGATTGACGTCTTCACTCAGAGGATAAAGTTTCGCTACGACCGTGTTAATGTTCGTCTCTTTAGGAGTATTTTCAGTGCAGGAGGAACTCTCTTTGCATGCCCCATGGGGAAAAATAGTCCTGCTTATTAAACCATTTGCCAGAAAATAAAAGGAGATTTGAAACTAGGCAAAACATCATTTGTGTAAAGTTACAGGCTTACAATGTAGATGTAGGTATAACACTGATCTTTTGTTTTCAACAAATTAATTAGTGCTCAAGGTATAGTTCCGTATCCTCAATACGTGTCGAATAGATAAATAAAAAGACATATATGTTTTTGTTTGCGCAAGGGAAGTTTCTTCGGAGACAAAAATACTCTTAAAACATGAAGGTCAGAACAATCAAGATTTCTGAATATGCATTGGTTTTACAATCAAGTGGCAAATTGTCTTCTTTAGAAAGCGATTCTAGCACATCCTAATACTCGTGCGCTGGTTCACATCTCTAGAAGACCGTAGCATGGGGGTGGGTGGATTGCATTACCTCGTTTGGAGATTTTTTGCACAGAAAATGAAGCACCATGAGTCTCAAAGCTGATATAACTGATCTGGAAATTTACCTCTGTTATAAGCACAGAATGGCAAAGTGCATCCGGTAGACACAAAGAGATCTTTGAAGCTCGGAGTATCTGACAATAACAGGACATGATACTGGTATATTCAGAAATAGTGTAACATCCATTTGTGATCAAAGCTATTGACTGACAAAGATCAAAGGGTTGGTTCACTGAATGTTACTCAGTATATCTGCTTCATCCTGGCAGCATTATGCTGGGCAAGCTGAAATGAAATTAACAGTTTGAAAAAACTTCTAAGTGACTGGAAGTTGGTGTAGACATCAAAACATATGAGAACTAGTATTGATACCCGTATCAGTAACTCTTTAGTTGTCCTTTGCAGAAACAATGTTGTAACTTGAATATACAAAATATCAACCACAAGTGCTTTTTATAATGGTATTTTGAAACTTGTGTTTAATTACGTATCTGAGGTTGTGTCCATCATTTCAACGGGCTAACCATTTAAATACAGCCATAATTTAGAGTAGTGCGCCGTTTTGAGTAGATTGAACGTGCCCGGCGCTACCTAGACATGCGTTAAATTGTCCGTTGAATGCATCAACTTATGACTCTAGATGTTGGAGAAGTAAACGAATTAATAGTTTATTAAATTTAAATTGCACCACTTACGGTTTTCATGTGTAACATTCCACAAATTCACGGCGACGTCCTCCGCGGTCACGCAGAATAAACGAATTAAGGCACGTTTGGTGAGAATTATCTTTGTGTTCGAGGGTGTGCGTGAAAATACCGTGACCATGCGCACCTCGTCCGATCCGGGACCTATCTGGTAAGTGAATGTAAGGTTAGCGAGGTTGAACGCAAAGTACAGGGAGTCGTAGTGTAATCCGTCTGAAACACGAGTGTGACAGGTTAGTGCAAACCGAAAGTAGTCTCGTGCTGAAAAATTGAAAGTTACCTATTCTACCCCCACCCCCACGTGCATGTACTAAATGAAGCTTAAACAAATTTGTTATTGAACAGAAACGAAGCTTAAACAAATTTGTTATTGAACAGATACGAAGCTGTTATCGATCTGCAGCAAAAATTCAAGAAACCAGTAAGTGAAAAATGATGTATGGTTGTTTACATCTCTCTGTTCGACACGGTGGCCATCTTGTAAAACATTCACTAGCCTCAAGGTTGCATACAACTTCATTGTTGAGATACAGTGTATAATAATATGCCTGACATTTGTAGTTCTCAATTGTGTCTGAAAATTAACATTTTACTTTTTTTATTCAAGATTTGGTTAATCGAATTCTCCTCGTTTTGGGTCTATTTTTGATTTATCAAATTTATCAAAACAAGACCATACATGAAAGAGAACCCTATTAATATATTTGAAGCTTTTAGGTGAAATCTTCCAGGACTGAAGACTTACTGTGTAAAAAGGTATATTTTTCTATGGGATTGGCTACCATCTTGAGTGTTTAAAATGCCCAAAGTTGTCCAAGTAGCAACTATTGTAAAACTGCTCTGGGACCCCCAGTATGTAGAAAAATCATGATGTGAAACACATTTTATCGGTTTTAAAAGTTTCGACTGGGCTATTTATCTGTTGATGAAGAATGATTACTGAGTATCCATTCGGGGATTTCAGAGTTGAAAACACAGTTTCCTGTACTTTCAAAAAATATTTTTTGTCATAAACGCATTGTTCTCTTTTAAATGAGCCCACTTACTGTATATCCAGTCGTATTTGCCGTTGAAATTAGGGTCAGGCACTAGCTCACGTGACCAGCTGTCACACTCAGAAAAGTTAGTAAAACTGAAAAAATTGTGTATATATTTCTTAATCACAGATTAAAAAACAATTTTAAACAGAATTGTGTTCTCTACATTTGTACAATTGTTACAGAAACTGCCAAAACCGAATGAAATACCATAGATGTACATTGAGGGAGTTTTTTTGCACTCCCCAAACTATTTGCTTTGTAGACAGTTTCGGTACAAGATATAGCAGCACTTCTGTATCTTCAGATAAGTTTTTCCGCCTTAAACATGAAACAAGGATGGTCTCCATCTGTCTCTATGCACTTCTGTAGTAAGAATCAAAATCAAAGTCTCACAAATACCCAGCATATGTTAAGATAATAAGAAGTACCTCCATCTAAGATCGAACTGCCACGTCATGTTTCCATTAGGATGAAGAGTGAAGGTGTTGGTGTAGTCCCGCCAAAGCTCAGCTGTCAAGTCGGGCCAGTAAAAATTGGTAGCATACCACGTTCCTGCAACCTAAAACGAGAGAAACAGTCCCCATAATAAGTGTTAGACTCTTTAGCAGTGTAACAGTAATTCTATAAAACTTTTACCATTTTTCTCTACCATCAAGGTGAGTGTTCCAATAACTAGAAACTAAATAGTACAACGTGGTATTGGAATTTTGTGAACTGGTTTGGATATGACGTACCTCGGTGATTAAGAGAAATGTGCTGAAAATTCCAGAAAAAAATCTGCAAAGGTAAAATCTCACGAATATTGTCTGCTTGTAAGTAAACCAAATCTGTGAACGGTTCTGGATATGGTGTTGAAGGTAACCATGTCGAAATTTCCAGGAGAATTTAAATTTCATTGTGTAAATATCCACTCACTATAAATATTTTGCAAAAGACTTACCCTTTCAGGCCTAAAATACCTAATAGCTCTGGGCTGACAAGGCATATCCGTTTCTCCAAGTGCTACACATAGTATTGGAACGATGCAGCAAATGTCTTTCATTCCGTTACAGTAACTGTCCAAACTGCTGAGAGATGTAGAACTAAAATCAGCCATGGTTGTTGATTTATAGCCTGTCAAGGAAACATCTTGCCATGAGCTGCCGTGGAGTTGTTGAAAATACTTGCCAAGAAGGCATCCGAATTATGTCATACGTACATATGGACGGTAATGCTTCACAAAGCCCAAAGCAGATCTGTTTAATTTTACTTAATTCAACTGACGCAAAAGTAATCGCGTTTCACAGTAACATGATTATATCGTCAAACTCTTATGTGCTGAAAATGAAGCGGGGATTTAACCACTTGCTGTTGCTAGTAAATATCAAAATTTAATTAAAAAAAAAATAAAACAGTAACTTACAATAAAACTGTGCAAGAAGAATAATGAGCTCTTCAAAGTCGCCAACAGGTATCGGTAAGTCAGTACCTTGCGTTGACTCTGGTTCCAGGTGGTCTCTCGACAGTGCGTTCTCATTTAATACGAAGCTATGACTAGCTTGTTCACGTAATTTAGATTGACACTTGCTAACGGTTGTGGATCCTCCCTATTTTCTTCCCGTGATGTGCATAAAGGGAATTTGTTTTTATACTCATTGTGCAGCATTCATAAGCCGTAAGTTCGCCTATCTGTCGAAGACTGATGAAAACATAGCAGGACAGCACTGCAAATTCTATCAAATTAAAGTATAAATTGAACCTATCACATTTCTCGTAGATTAGATTAAAATTTTGCCTTTTCTATTTGATTTGTAAATCAACTGATGTGTGTTTGAAGGGTAGGCTAAATACTATTACAGCATACTATAGCAATATTAAACTTTTAGTATTATTTAAAAAATAACATGAAGTTATTTGGTTTATCACTTGATCCAAATCTTTGTTTCTCTTACTCTTCAGTCTCTGACATACCTCTTTTTTAAATTATTGTCTAAGATCATTGGATAGTGAGATCGTATGGATTCCATTTTTATAACGCGAAATCATGAGATGTGACGCATTCGATTTTAATTGCAGTTTATGAATTGGAACTGTAGTCAAACTCAAGATGGGATTTGTCTTAATTTTTTTAGCCTCTGAATAAGAGAAATCTGGCAGTTTTGCAAATAACGGCTAGCACTGGATAGAGGAAGCATTTTCCGAATGAAAAACTAAAAAAAGTGACTGCAATTGTAGTCCATACACTGTACCCCTATATTATATAACGTTGTTCTTGTATTTCAAAGCCAAAACAGTCAACCTTTGATGACGTTTCCCCAATGAGTAAAAGTAATCACGCTGTATATAATAGAACATTTTACAGACATAAAAACATTTAATTTAGCAAGGTGTGTTACATTTATAACCCATAATTGCTTTTGTTGTATCTTTCTGACTGAAGCAATCAGATGAAAACAGGACATAAATGCAATGCCTATGAATTTGTTATTGCTTGTGTAATATGTTACATGTTCCTGACTCTCATCTCTAAACCACATTCACTAAATTAATAATAGTTTCAAGGTAATATTACTGGTATATTCAGAAATAATGTAACATCCATTTGTGATCAAAGCTATTGACTGACAAAGATCAAAGGGTTGGTTCACTGAATGTTACTCAGTATATCTGCTTCATCCTGGCAGCATTATGCTGGGCAAGCTGAAATGAAATAAACAGTTTGAAAAAAACTTCTAAGTGTCTGGAAGTTGTGGTAGACATCAAAACATATGAGAACTAGTAGTAATACCTGTATCAGTAACTCTTAAGTTGTTCTTTGCAGAAACTATATTGTATCTTGAATATACAAAATATGAACCACAAGTGCTTTTTCGACTGGTATTTTGAAACTTGTTTTATTACGTATTGGAGGTTGTGTCCATCATTGCAAAGGGCTCTCCATTTAAATAAGGTTAGCGAGGTTGAACGCAAAGTACAGGGAGTCGTAGTGTGATCCGTCTGAAACACGAGTGTGACATTTATGTGCAAACCGAAAGTAGTCTCGCGCTGAAAAATAGAAAGTTACGCTATTCTACCCCCACTCCCACATGTTACTTTTCTCTTTCAAATGAGCCCACTTACTGTGTATCCAGTCGTATTTGCCGTTGAAATCAGGGTCAGGCACTAGCTCACGGAACCAGCCGTCACACTCAGAAAAGTTAGTGAACCTGAAATAGTCACAGATCAAAAAGCTATCTTAAACAGAATTTCTATATTTTAAAAACCGTTAAGAAACTGTCAAAATCGTAGTGGAATGCTATACATGTACATTGAGGAGGATCTTTTTGCACCCTCTATTCCCCAAGCCATTTGCTTTGAAGACAGTAATGTACATTTTGCAGCACTTCTGTATCTTCAGATAAGTTTTTCTGCCTTTAACATGAGACGAGGGCGGTCTCCAGCTTTTTCTGTGCACCTTTTTCGTGAGCAAAAAAATCAAAGTCTAACGAATATATGTTAAGATAATAAAATGTACATCCATCTAAGATCGAAACGCCAAGTCATGTTTCCATTAGGATGAAGAGTGAAGGTGTTGGTGTAATCCCGCCAATACTCAGTAGTGTCGAATGGCCAGTAAAGGTTAGTAGCATACCACGTTCCCGTAACCTAAAACAAGAAACCGTTTATTCCCATTATAAGCGGTAGACTCTTTAGCAGTATAACGATCTTGATCATTAAGGTGAGTGACTCAAAAACTAAAAACTTACTAGCAGAACGTAGAAATGGATCGCAATTATTTGAAGGGGTTTGGATATGGTATACTCTAGTGGTTAAAAAAATGTACTGAAATCTAAAAAAAAATCTGCAAGAGTAAAATCTCATTCTTATTGTCTGCTTGTAAGAAAAGCCCAATCTGTGAACGATTCTGGTTATGCTGTTTAAGGTAAACGTGTTTAAATTTCCAGGAGAATAATTTTTTATCATGTAAATATCCATTCATTGTGAATATTTTCCAAAGAAAAACTTACCCTTTCAGGCTTAAAAGACATAAGAGGTCCCGGCTGACAAGGCGTACCCGTTTCTACAAGTGCCACACGTAGTATTGGAACGATGCAGACGATGGCAGCTAAGCAGCAAATGGCTTTCATTCTGTTACAGTAACTGTTCAAACTGCCGAGATATGTAGAACTAAAATCAGTCTTGGTTGTTGATCCTGTCAAGGAAACATCTTGCCATTAGCTGCCATGGAGTTGTTGAAAAGACTTACCAAGAAGGCATACGAATTATCTTATACATATGGACGGTAATGCTTCACAAATCCCAAAGCAGATATGTTTCATTTTACTTAATTCAACTGAGGCAAACGTAAACGCATTTTCGCAGTAACATGATTTTATCATCGAAATCTTATATGTGCTGAAAATGAAGCCGGAATCATCATAAAAATAAATTTAACCACTCACTAGCTGGTGCTAGTAAATATCAAAAATCTTTAATTAAATAAAAACAGTAACTTACAATAAAATTTAGGTAGAGGATTTACCCGGTATGAGATCTTTGAAGTCACCAACAGTTATCGGTAAGTGCGTTCCCATTAAATACGAAGCTATGACTCGCCTTTTCACGTAATTTAGATTGACACTTGTTAACAGATGTGGCTCCTCCCTATTTTCTTCCCGTGATGTGCATAAAGGGAATTTTATTTTTATACTCATTGTGCAGCATTCATAAGTTGTAAGTTCGTCCATCTTTTGAAGACTGATTAAAACATAGCAAGACAGCACTGCAATTTCTATCAAATTAAAGCATTAATTGAACTTATTACATTTATAATAAATTAGATTAAAATTTTGGAATTTGTCATTGGCTTGTAAATCAAATGTTGTACGTTTAAAATTTAGGTCAAACACTATCATAGCATACGATAGCATTAATTAAACTCCTTTAATATAATCATGAAATAACATGAAATTATTTGGTGTATCAATTAATCCAATTCGTTGCTTCTCTTACTCTCCAGCCTCTGACATAACTCTTTTCTAAATTATTGTCTAAGATTGGTAAGTGAGATCGTATGAATCTTATTTTTATAACGTGGAATCATGAGATATCATACATTCGAGAGTAGTAACTGTGTATGAATTGGGACTGCACTCATAATCAAGATGGGGTTTGCCTTGTTTTTAAGCGTCTGGATAATGATAATTAAGTCTGGATGTTTTGGAAATAATGTCTAGTATTAATTGCAATAGAAGAAGCATTTCCAAATGAAAAGCTGTAAAAATTAGCTGCAATTATAATTCATACACTGTACCCCTATATTATATATGTTGTTCTTGTATATCAAAGCCATAACAATCAACAAGAGATAACATTTCCCCTATGTGTAAAACTTATCACGCTGTATGTAATGGAGGTCGTACGAGATAGCATAAACCGAGTCTTTAGGCACGATAAAGATACTAGGGTTTTCATGTACGTGTATCTGGGATTTTGAACGCCAATTTAAAAAATATAATATTTCCTCCTCAAAATCATTGTTCAAGCGTTCCCTGCATTTGGATCCAATGTTTTGTACGATATCTTATTAAATAACCACTATATACAATTTTTTATTTAAAGGGTTTTGTCGTTATTAAAAAAAAGGTCTGAAGTACAATTAGAGATAAAACTACTAAATGGAAAACGTAAGGAGCATAAAAACGCCATTCTTTTCGCAAAGTGTGTCATACAGCTATCGCCCATAGTTGCCTTTTTATCCTTCACACGAACAAAAGGTAACTAAGACACAGGTGCCACACACATGAATTGCTTGTGTAATATGCATTGGCGGATTTAGGAGGGGGTGTTCCCCCTTCGACCCCCCTTTGATTCCTGAAAAAAAATTACACCAATGGTCCCCTCTTGAAATTAGAAATTTGACTAGCTGAATTATAGATCTAAACCGTACCAAATGGCACCGTTCGCCTCTAAAATACCCAAATTCAGCGGGCCCCAAACCCCACGCACGGTATAAATAGGTGAAGGTCTATAATTAATGATGAATTATATATTATATTGGTGGTAAGCAGTAACTGCACCTCGGGTGTAGGAACTCGCAATGCAGCATTAAATGAGAGTTTAGAGAAGTCAACCACGGCTAGTCGATCACCAGTTTAATCCATTGCACGACAGGATTAGTTAACTACATGTACTTTAGTTTTATGGTTATAATTGTTATTATTTTCTAAAACGAAATTCTCACGGTTTCAAAATTTAAAAAATAGTGGTACACTGCCAGGGCCACTTATAGACTTTTTACTAGATATTCAGAGACAATTATTTTCACTAAGCATTTGCCCGTGTCTGTACTGTTCAGCGAGAATTCAGGCATATGATTGACGTCATCACTCAGTTGGCGTTTGGTAGAATATAAAGTTTCGTCACGACCTTGTTAATGTTCCTTTATTTATAAATATTTATAGTGCAGGGGGAATTATCCACGCATACCCTGTGTGGATAAATAGACACGCTGATTAAACTATTCACGAGAAAATAAAAAGAGATTTGAAACTAGGCAAAACATGTTTTGTGTATAACGTTACAGGGTTACAATGGGCATGTAGGTATAAAATTGGTATTTTTTTTCAACGAATTGAATAGTGCTGAAGGTGTTTCTTACCTTATCCTAAAAACTTGTTGAATAGAAACACAAAAAGACACTTGTGATTTTTTCTTTAAGCAAGGAAAGTTTCTTCGGAGACAAAAATTAAAACAAACAAAACAATCAAGGTTTCTGAATATGCACTGGTTTGTCTTCTTGAGATAACTATACTAGTACATCCTAATACGCGTACGCTGGTTCACATCTCTGGGAGACCGTGGCATAGGGGTGGGTTGACTGCATTACTTCATTTGGAAATTTTTTGCACAAATAAGGAAGCACCATGAGTATCAGAGCTAGAACTGTTATAAGCACAAGCTATTCACTAACAAAGATCAACGGATTGGTTCACTGAATATCATGTCTGCTGCATCTCATGCCATGCACCTTTATGCTATGCAAGCTGAAAAAAAATTTGAAAAAAATTACAAGTGAATGGAAAGTTAGTGTAAACACCGGAACATATGAGTAGAAATACCTGTACCTGTATCAGTATCTCTTTAGTTGTCCTTTGAAGAAACTATATTGTAACTTGAATATACATGTACAAAATACCTGGCACATTTGCTTTTCTGATGGTATTTTAAAATTTTGTGTTCTTTTACGTAGCGAATGTTGTGTCCATTATTTCAACTAATTTTCTATTAAAATACAACCAGAATTTAGAGCACAGCGCCGCTTAGAGTAGCTTTAACCTGTCCGGCTCTACCTAAACGTATGTTAAATTGTCCATCAGCTTGTGTTTTCAGATATAGGAGAAGTAAACAACTGAATAACTTAACTTAATTACAACAGCACTACTTACGGTTTTCATGTGTAACATTCCACAAATGCGCGGCGACATCCTCCGCAGTCACGCAGAAATAACGAATCAAGACATATTTTGTGAGAATTGTCTTTGTGTTCCAGGGTGTACGCGAAAACACCGTGAGCATGCGCACCCAATCCGATTCGGGAGCCATCTGGTAAGTGAATGTAAGGTCATTATAGTCAGTGAACGCGAAGTACAGGGAGTCGTAGTGTGATCCGTCTGAAACACGATTGTGGCATTTTAGTGCAAAGCGAAAGTAGTTTCATGCTGAAAAAAAATTGAAAGCAACCCCACTTTACCCCAACCCCTCATGTGGATGTACTAAAAGTAAGCTGTAACAAGCTGTTGTTATTGAACAGAAACGAAACAGAAAAGTAGCCTTAATCTGATAACCATGCATGCGTCAACTAAAAATCAGATTGACTGCTAACATTAAACTTGATTATCGATCCGAAGCAAAGATCCAAGAAATTGTTGGTGAAATTGGTGTATGGTTGTTTATATCCCTCTATGCAACACGTTAGCCGTCTTGTAAAACATTCATGAGCCTCAAAGGTTGCATACAACTTCTTTGTTGAGATATAGTGTATAATAATACGCCTGATATTTGTAGTTCTCAAGTGTGTCTAAAAATTAAAACAGGTCATTAATTTTTATCAAGATTTGGTTTAAACATTATTGTTGTGACGTTTGGTGACTGTTTTGGATTTATCAAATTTATCAAAACAAGACCATGCATTAATGGGAACCCTATCAATATTTTTGAGGCATTAAGGTGAAATCTTCCCAGACTTAAGACTTACTGTGTAAAAAAAGGTATATTTTTCTGTGGGGATTGGCGACCATCTTGTGTGTTTTTAATGCCCAAAGTCGCCTAAGTAGGAACTATTGTAAATTTATGCTGGGAGCCATACCACCGAGTTTCTAGAATAACCATAATGGGAAACACTGTTCTGAAAGGTTTTGACTGGTTCATTTACCTATTGATGAAAAATTATCACTGAGTATCTCAAAATTGATAACACAGTTCATCGAAAAGCACATTACACTCCACTTACTAAGAAACCAGTCGTATTTGCCGTTGAAATTTGGGTCAGGCACTAGCTCACGTGACCAGCCGGTACACTCAGAAACGTTAGTGAAACTGAAATAAATATATACTAGTATTTCCGTTAGAGATAGATTAAAAACACTTTATAAACCAAAATTTTATACGTTTTTTTTATAAATTTATACAAACGTTACAGAAACAATCAAGAACGTAGTGGAGTGCCATACATGTATATTGGGGAGGATCGTTTTGCACCCCCTATTTACATGTAGTAATTTCGCTTTGAAGACAGATTGGGTACAATAAAAATATTTAGCAGCAGTTCTGTATACTCAGATTGGGGTTTCTTTCTTAAAAAGGGACAAGAGCGCAATCTACATCTGCCTCTGTAGTAAGAATAAAAATCAAATGCTCACAAATATATATTAAGGTAATAAGAAGTACCTCCATCTAAGATCGAACTGCCACGTCATGTTTCCATTAGGATGCAGTGTGAAGGTGTTGGCGTAGTCCTGCCAAAACTCCATAGTCAAGTTTGGCCAGTAAATATTGGTACCATACCATGTTCCTTCAACCTAAAATGCCACAAACTGTTTAATTCTCATAATACGCGTTAACAGTAAGAGGGCAATTTTATGAAAATTCAGCATCAAATTCAGCATCAAGGTGAGCAGCTCAGAAACAAGAAATTTACTAGTAGAACGTGGTTATGGATCGCAATTTGGAGAATAAGTTTGGATATGAAATAACATAGTAATTAAGATAAATGTGCTGAAACATCTTCCGCAGTGGTTAAATCGCACTGACCGTGCGTTGACCACCTCTGCCTGTAAGAAAACCCCATATTTTAGATATGTTGCTTAAGGTAAACGTGCTGAAATTTCCAGGAAAATTGAACTATTTTTATTGTGTAAAAAAAAACAACTTCCATTGTGAATGTTTTGCAAAAGACTCACCCCTTCAGGATCAAAAGACGCTATAGGGCTAGGCTGACACGGCAAACTCGTTTCAACAAGTGCCACAAGTACCAGTATTGGAACAATGCAGACGATGGCAACTAAGAAGCTAATGTCTTTCATTTTGTTACAGTAACTGTCCAAAGTGCCAAGAGATGTAGGACTAATATCAGTCGTGGTTGTTGATTTATAGCCTGTCAAAGAAACATTTTGCCATTAGAATGGAGTTGTTGCAAAAAAACTTGCTTAAGATTTAATTAATTAATTTAATTATGGATGACAACATTTCACAAAGAACCAAAACAGGTGTTTTATTTTACTTAATTCAAGTGAGGCAAACGTAAAAGGGTTTTCCCAGTAACATGATTTTATCATTGAAATCTTGTGCTGAAAATGAAGCAGGAATCATCATTCGAATAAATTTAACCCCATCCTGTTGCTAGTAAATATCTAGATTTAACAAAAACTGTAACTTACAGTAAAACTGTGCAAGAAGATTTATGATTTCTTCGAAGTCACCAACAGTTATCGGTAAGACTGTAGGCTGCGTAGACTCTGGTACCAGGTGGTCGTTCGACAATGCATTCCCATTTTATACGAAGCTATCAGACTCACTTTATTTAGATTGACACTTGTTAACCGATTTGGCTCCTCCCTATTTTCTTCCCGTGATGTGCATAAAGGGAATTTTTATACTAATCTGTGCAGCATTAATAATTTCGTCCATCTACTGAAGGCTGATTAATACTAGCAGGATAGCACTCTAAATTCTATCAAAATAAAGAATTATTGTAACTAATTGCCTTTATGCAATGCTTGTAATATGATGCTAACGTACACGTACGATCAGTGCTGTGAGCAGTTGACTCGACATTAAGACCGCACCTACCTTATGGTTATAAAATACTGGACATGTATGTGTAATAACGGTACATTTCTATGTAATTTTGTTGCTTTTTATCTATGTATTTATTATTATTATTATTATTATTATTATTATTATTATTACTCTACCTCGGTACAATTTCACCAGCTTCGACTGTTGCAGATAGTATGAATACAGCATATTTGTAATAGATTCTATTAAAATTTTGCCCTCTCTGTTTGGTTTGTAAATGAACTGGTGTACGTTTAAATGGTAAGTCAGACACTTTTATAGCATATAATAGCATTACCAAAACTCCTTATATTAATCATAAAATAACATGCAATTATTTCGTTTATCAATTAATCCAAACCGTCGTTTTTCTTACTCTCCAGTCTCTAACATACCTCTTTTCAATTATTGTCTAAGATCATGGGTAAGTGAGATCGTGTGGATCCCATTTTTATAACGTGAAATCATGAGATGTCACAAATTTGATTTTAATTACAGAGTGTGAATTGGAACTACAGTCATAATCGAGATGGGGGTTTGTCTTGTTTTTAAGCGTCTGAGTAAAGAGAATTAAGGCCGGATGTTTTGCAAACAATGTCTAGTATTAATTGCGATAGAAAAAGTATTTGCCGAATGAAAAACTGTGAAAAAACATGACTGTAATTTTAATTCATACACTGTACCCCTATATTATAATACGTTGTCCTTGTACAGTTAACCTTTGAACACATTTCCCCTATGCGTAAAACTAATCATGCTGTGTATAATAGAACACTGTTAAAGACGTAAACACACATTTAATTGAGCAAGGTGTGTTACATTTATAACCCATAATTACTTTTGTTGTATCTTTCTGACTGAAGTAAACATGTAAATAGGGCATAAGTGCAATGCAAATGAATTTTATTGCTTGTGTAATATGTTACATGTTCCTGACTCTCATCCCGTAATCCCCATTCACTGCACTAAATTACTTATAGTTTCAAAGTTAATTAACAGTACATATGATACAGAAATATTCAGAAATAACATAACATCCATTTGTGTTCAAAGCTATTCACTGACAAAGCTAGATCAAAGGATTAGTTCACTGACGGTTATATTGGCTTCATCCTCGTAGCATTATGCTGGACAAGCTGAAATAAAATCAAAAATTTGAAAAAAGATTTCAAGGTAATGGAAAGTTGGTTTAGACACCGAAACATGATAAGTAATACCTGTATCGGTAATTCTTAAGTTGTCATTTGCAGAAACTATATTGTAACTTGAATATACACAATACCAACAATATGTACTTTTTATAATGATACTTTGAAATTTGTGTTTTATTACGTATGGAATGTCGCGTCCATCAGACTCACCATTTAAATACAACCTTAAGATAAAGAAGAGCACCGCTTTGAGTAGCTTGAACGAGTCTAGCGCTACCTAAACATGCGTTAAATTACCCGTGGAATGCACATCAACTTGTGACTCTAGATATTGGAGAAGTAAACAAATGAATAGGTTACAAAATTACAATTGCACTACTTACGGTTTTCATGTGTAATATTCCACAAGTGCACAGTGACGTCCTCCTCAGTCAAGCAGAAATCATGAGTCAAGATATGTTTTGTGAGCATTGTCTTTGTGTTCGAGGGCGTGCGTGAAAATGCCGTGACCATGCGCACCCGGTCCGATCCGGGACCCATCTGGTAAGTGAATGTAAGGTTAGCGAGGTTGAACGCAAAGTACAGGGAGTCGTAGTGTGCTCCGTCTGAAACAGGATTGTTACGTTTTAGTGCAAAGCGAACGTAGTCTCGTGCTGAAAAATCCAAAGTTAGGCTATTCTCACGTGCATGTTCTAAAATAAGCTTGAACAGTTACTGAACAGCAACGATGCTGTTTTCGTTCGGAAGCAAAAATTCAAGAAACCAGTAAGTGAAAAATGATGTATGGTTGTTAACATCTCTCTATTTGACACAGTGGCAATCTTGCAAAACACCCCCCTAGCCTCAAAGGTTGCATACAACTTCATTGTTGAGATACAGCGACTGTATAATAATATGCCTGAAATTTGTGGTTTTCAATTGTGTCTGAAAATTAAAACTGTTAACTATTTTAATCAAGATTTGGCTAATCGAAATCTCTATTTCTATGGCGTTTGGGGGCTATTTTTGATTAATCAAATTTATCAAAACAAGACCATACATTAAAGAAAACACTATACATATATTTGAAGCATTAAGTTGTAATCTTACAAGACTGAAGAGTTTTTATGTTAAAAGGTATATTTTTGTATGGGCTTGGCGACCATCTTGGGTGTATAAAATGCTCAAAGTTGCCCAAGTAGCAACTATTGTAAACTTGCTCTGGGACCCCATAAGGCCAAGCATGTAGACAAATCATAATGGGAAACACAATTTATGGGTTCTGAAAGTTTCGAATGGGCTATTTACCTGTTGATGAAAAAAGATTACTGAATGTCCATTGGGGGATTTCAGTGTTGAAAACACAGCTTTGAATAGGATGTACCTTCGTGATGACGGGGAACTGAACTGAACTTTCAAGAAATATTTTTGTCAAAAGCACACTTTTCTCTTTCAAATGAGCCCACTTACTGTGTATCCAGTTGTATTTGCCGTTGAAATCAGGGTCAGGCACTAGCTCACGGGACCAACCGGCACACTCAGAAAAGTTAGTGAACCTGAAATAATCGTGCATATATTTATTAGTCACAGATTAAAAATCTTAAACAGAAATTTCTTCTAAAGCTTTTCTATATATTTAAAAACGTTATGAAACTGTCAAAATCGTAGTAGAATGCTATACATGTAAGTTCAGGAGGATCTTTTTGCACCCTCTATTCCCCAAGCCATTTGCTTTGAAGACAGTAATGTACATTTTGCAGCACTTCTGTATCTTCAGATAAGTTTTTCTGCCTTTAACATGAGACGAGGGCGGTCTCCAGCTTTTTCTGTGCACCTTTTTCGTAAGCATAAAATGAAAGTCTAACAAATATATGTTAAGATAATAATAAGTACATCCATCTAAGATCGAAACGCCAAGTCATGTTTCCATTAGGATGGAGAGTGAAGGTGTTGGTGAAGTCCCGCCAATATTCAGTAGTGTCAACTGGCCAGTAAAGGTTAGTAGCATACCACGTCCCCCTAACCTAAAACAAGAAACCGTTTATTCCCATAATAAGCGATAGATTCTTTAGTAGTATAACAATCAAGGTGACTGACAAAAACTAGAAGAAAGCAGCAATAGATGACAACTATTTAAACGGGTTTGGATATGGTATACTTTGGTGGTTAAGAAAAATGCGCTGAAATCTCCAGAAAAATCTGCAATAGTAAAACTTCACCCACCCCTATCGTTTGCTTGTTAGTAAACCCAATCTGTGAACGAATCTGGTTATGCTGTTTAAGGTTAACGTATTTAAATTTCCAGGAGAATTACATTTTTTATTATGTAAATATCCATTCATTGTGAATATTTTGCAAAAAAAAACCTTACCCTTTCAGGCTTAAAAGACATAAGAGGTCCGGGCTGACAAGGCGTACCCGTTTCTACAAGTGCCACACATAGTATTGGAACGATGCAGACGATGGCAGCTAAGCAGCAAATGTCGTTCATTCTGTTACAGTAACTGTCCAAACTACCGAGATATGTAGAACTAAAATCAGTCTTGGTTGTTGATCTATAGCCTGTCAAAGAAACGTCCTGCCATTAGCTGCCATGGAGTTGTTGAAAAGACTTACCAAGAAGGCAAACGAAGGCAATCTTATATATATGGACGGTTATGCTTCACAAATCCCAAAGCAGATATGTTTCATTTTACTTAGTTCAACTGATGTAAACGTAAACGCGTTTCACAGTAACATGGTTTTATCGTCGAAATCTTATGTGCTGAAAATGAAGCAGGAATCATCATTCAAATAAATTTAACCACTTGCTGTTGTTAGTAAATATCAAAATTTGATTAAAAAAAACAGTAACTTACAATAAAATTGTGCAAGGCGATGTATGAGTTATTCGAAGGCACCAACCGTTATCGGCAAGTCTGTAGGTTGTGTAGACTCTGATTCCAGGTGGTCTCTCGCCAGTGCGTTCCTATTTCATACTAAGCTATGACTTGCTTTTTCACTTTATTTAGATTGACACTTACTAACGGATCTGTATCCTCCCTATGTTCTTCCCGTGATGTGCATAAAAAGAATTTTATTTTTATATTCATTTATGCAGCTTTCTTAAAGACACAAGTTCGTCCATATAGTGAAGACTGATGAAAACATAGCAAGACAGCACTGCAAATTCTATCAAAATAAAGCATTAATTTAACTTATTACATTTATAATAATTTAGTTTAAAGTTTTGCCTCTATTTGATTTGTAAATCAACTTCGGTTAAAAGGTAAGTCATACACTATTATAGCATATGATAGCATTAATTAAGCTCCTAATATACATGTATAATCATGAAACATTAATTTATTTGGTTAATCAATTAATCCACATCGTTTTTCACATACTCCTTTATTGATTATTGTCTTACATCATTGGTTAGTGAGGTCGTATGATTCCCATCCTTATAACGCAAAATCTTGAGATGTCACACATTAGATTTTCATTATAGTGTATGAATTGGAGCTGCAGTCATAATCGAGATGGAGTAAGTCTTGTTTTTAAGCGTCTGAATAAAGAGAATTAAGTCCGGATGTTTTGCAAACAATGTCTAGTATTAATTGCGATAGAAGAAGCATTTTCCGAATGAAAAACTGTGAAAAACATGACTGCATTTGTAATTCATACACTGTACCCCTATATTATAAAACGTTGTTTTGTATTTCAAGGCCAAAACAGTCAAAATTGGAGAAAATTTCCCCTATGCGTAAAACTAATCACGCTGAATATAACAGACATAAAAACACATTAATTTTGCAAAGGTGTGTTATAAATCTATGGCGCCTTTTTTGTACCTTTCAGACTGAAGTAATCATATGTAAAAAAATATATAAGTGCAATTCATATGAATCCTATTGCTTGTGTAATATGCTACATGTTCCAGGCTTACATTAATAATCCGCATTCACCGTTGAGTGCCCGTCACTGTAAAATGCTTATTTAGAAACTTTTGTAAAGAGCAAACGTTTAATTTGCACGCTGGCTTGACCGTGTTCCCGATAATATTATTTTGAATCAAACCGCGCCTGATCGTATATCTCTCGTATATACATGTAGAACAAAGAAACTAATCTTTTCATCACCTTTCAGCCCCCAGAGGCTTAAAAATCTTCATATATTCTTTAAATTTCACGGTGACCAATGGCACATAACCATTGACATACCTGACTAGGACAATCACTAATAAACAATTTGCTAACTATGGATGTGGAATCAATTCATTGGAATTTCTCGATTGACAATAATGAGAGTTGTATGCCTTGCATGATGGCCAAGCATGGTGTAAGGTCAAATGTAAGTTTAGGCCCCTAACACAGCTGGCGTGTGTAGTTGTAAGTCATATTTTGCACAGCAGGTCTAAGACTGACTATGCCTCGTAATTCATATGCCAAAGAGCTTGGTAAGTTGTGGGGTCGCGGGTGTGGTGTGGTGGATCGATCCATCTGGATCGATCTAACTTCCTGGGGAGTCTCACTAAATTGCTGTCAACTAACCAGCTTAAATGTCAAGGTCACGCTTCCGAATCAGCTATGGGGTAAAGATAATTACCTCCTAACAGCTTTAATAGGCGTGACATACATTTAAGCCGGTCAGGTTGACAGCAATTTAGTGAGACTCCCGAGGGAGATAGATCGATCCAAATATCTGTGGGAATGGTCCCTATGTTAGTTAAGAAAATACAATGACAAACACAATATGTCGGTTGATTGATATTGGACCAGTTAAGGCCGCTTTTATTTTGCCAAACCCAAATGAAATGCATACACTTTCATTTTAAATAACTGAATTTGAAATTATGACATGTTCTAGCTATTATTATAACTTCACGACAATTTACTTTTTGGTTCAATGAAACAATTTACCAGATCCTTGTGACATTTAACAATTTTCATTTTTGCCTAGTAAAAATATGCAATTTCCGCACAACAGACCACTGATTCCTAACAAATTATTATTGCACTTTTTGGTAAAATTAATTTAATTAATTTCTGCTAATTTCCAATAAGTAAAAGGGCAACCACATTTTTTTTGCTTCACAACATGGCAAATTTACAACGTTTACAATATTATTCATTTTTAACAAACGACATATATAAAACGACAAGTCAAATTGCGTGAATTATTAATTTTTTAAAATATTGGCAAACCATAAATCCTTTAAAAACATTGCCATGAATTGACCGTGAATTCCAAAAAGTAAACGCCCACGTGTAGCTGTTATAAACGTCATAAAGATGTACTTTTTGGTAGTGAAATTTACCTTTTAAATGTAATTTCCATTTCATTTTTTAATAATCATACCATGAACGCCTATTGGTTGGCACGGTCTACATGCAGTTTTAGTTCTCTCGTTTGAAACATTTTGAAAAAGGCTCAAGACTGAAAAAATATGTGGAAAAAATGACAGTTTTTTTATGGAAATTGAAATCCGTTCTTCGTTATAGCAAATATCTAAAAGTACCCTATTTTTCTTAGATCTGAAAATTCTTAATAATCATTAAAAACCAATCAAATATCAAAGTTAAAATGCTTATTAGAATCTGTAAAATGAAAACATGACACGTTCATGTATATGTGGCACAAGATTAATTTTGTCGTGGAATCTAACAATAAAAACGGTACAGAAGACAAGATTTCATCTACATGTTTCTTTAAGTAAGACCAGCTGTCTTTCTCTGACATTCCTGCTCGTAGGTCAACTGTTTTCAACTTAATACACCTGATAAACTGGAAAGCATTGAGAGGGTTCAAACCTCCATTACAACTAATTACCCATTCTCAACTCTCATTATTAATCAATCAAATAAATAATCGACACCAAAATGTAATCGATTATAAATTGGCAATCTCTGACTTAGAATGAGAAGTTTATCAAAATGTGCCCATAACATTTTGAAATATTCTGTCAACAAAAAAACAAACCGACAAAGAAAAAAAACCTTGTTATTGGAGGTCATGATGTCTAATGTGTGTCCAACAATGTGAGATTAATTTTTAGGGAATGATAAATCCGTAATTGTTTATATTTTACAATAATTAAAAACGCCAAAATTACTTAACAACAATTACAACGGTCGGATATCATTGTATGGATTGCTTTAGCCAAAGCAGTGCCCGATCCTATATCTTTTTTCTAATGCTTTTACCCATACCTAGAAACCCACACCACTGCCACCAACATCATAAGTCTAACGTTACCAGCATGGATGTTTCCTTGGTTGTGCTTTGAGGTTGAGATCGTGGTTGCACCATAAAATGGTGGCGTAGAGCCGTGGTGCGTGGCATTGCTCATGCAGGCAGAGAACGACCCTGCTCGAATACCCACGGGGCCTCCTGGTATCTCCAACTGCACGTTTAGCAGAGCACTTTCCACCCATGCTTGCACCTCTTTGAGAATGCTACGACCTTTCTCGTAGTGGGCTAGTCTCATGCGAAGAGTTACCAGCGTTTTAACGACAAAAGTTGAGTTCTCCGCGTTGCCTTTTTGACTGCAAGAAGAAATCGATCCTTGTACAGCTGACAGTACAGTTTGAAATCGACCATTGCGCCTGATATCTTTACATCCATCCCTCTGAGTTGGAAACCAGCCACAGGGTTCAAAATGTAAGTAAACGGCCGCCCGTACTATAGTGAAATTATACATAACGGGGCGGCAGTCCTGTCCATCAGGAACAAAACCAGGGGGACATACTATCTGCTGATCTACAGACTGGAAAAAGGCATGTGTGCATGTGTTAATGCATTGTTTTGCGACGATCTAGGGCGGAACTTTACAATTAAAAACCACCCCAAAACTCTGACAAGGATCACATTAAAGTATTTGCATAATGAATACGGTAAACAATTGATAAAGGAATAATATTAAATTTAGATGTATTTGGAATTTTCAATTTCTTATATATATATATATATATATATATATATATATATGATTATGGAAGCTCTTTTTCTCACCCTAGTCATGACGTCATCATTCTTTTCCTTGTCTTGGTCTCCCAGGTACAAAAGGGCGCGGAAAGAAAGACCTTGGAATCTGTCTGTTGGTGGTGTGTATTTCTGATCTAAAAACAATTAAATATAGTTAATTAAACAGAGGACATATATGCATGGCAAACACTCAGCTACACGTTTTTTCAACTAGTTGATGTAGTTTAAAATACTAAAATCATTCGCTTCGGGGGCGGGAGAAGAAATCAGTCGAAATGAAACGCATCGTTCATTTCGAATCTCGTGAGCAAGGTGAAAATGTATTTCACGAGCTTATAAAATACGTGCGAAGGTCTGGTCTCTTTTTATTTGCGACCTGGCGCTTTTTGCCCAAAATTGTTTATTCTTTGGGTGTAAAATCAAGTTTTGTAGATAATAGACACGTGATTACAAAAGTAAAAATCTGTCTTCTACACATAGAATCCAACGCTCAAGAAAAGAGCTTCAGTGTTCACTATTATAACCCCATT